CAGCCACCGGCACGGATGCGTCGCGTGGGCACAGACCTGGCACCGGGGCCGGCCCGGGGGAGATGGAGATGCTCAGAGGGAGCCCGGCCCTCAGCAGCTCACAGCCCGGACTGGGGGGGACACAGGCCAGAGCCGCCGGGAGACCACAAGCCGAGTCCGGAGGAGAATTTTTCTCAAGTGTCTTTTGGAAGGTCCCTGGCCAGATTCCAGCCACGGCTTTCCACTGAGTTCCCCGAACTTGGGGACCAGCAGGAAAGGGAAACCAGGCAGCCGGACCTATCATGTTTCATCAAAAACAAGGTGTCGTTCGTTTTAAGATGTTATTTTACGTACCACTAAGAAAACACACACACACACACACACACACACACACACACACACCGCTACCCACAAGACCGTGACACGCCACACGTTGTGCAAAAACAGCCTGACTTCAGAGAGATTACAATCGGGGGAAATGTGCATGTTAGAACCAGTGATGTGTTCTTGCTTTCATAGTCAGTACTCGGGATGTGTCTGAAATAAGGTCACGGAATGAGAGAGCCCCGCGTGACCTGCTTGGAGGTGGCCTGTGGAGCCCTCGCATCTTTCTTTGCAGATAGTTACCGAGGAGCAGGCGGTGAGGGGAAATGACTTTTCCAAAGCCCTGTTGCTCGAGCTGGGGAGTCAGCACCAGAGCCCGGACTTCCTCACTTTTACTTCGTATTTATTTCCACAGACGGGAGTGCCCTTCTCGTATTTTAGCATTCATTTGAGGTAGACAGTGTATTGTGCCCATTTTATTGGATAACTGAGGTATCCAAGGCAGAGCTGACACATACCAGGAAGCACATTGCAAATACCAGATCCGTCTTATCTACACGCAAGAACAGAGAGGGCTGCGTGGAGGTTCTTGGCGGGGGAAAGATCTGCATGCGGCGAGATTTTTGGCTGTCGTAGGTTACCCAATCAAAATTCAATTCCCGTACCTATGCTTTGAGTTCTGGATGTTACTGACCACTCAGACCATACAGATTTTCGGGTGTCTGGCCCAGGACTGCAGAGGCTAGAGGCCACTCTTGTACACCACATGCCATCCTTCTCTTTGCATCTAGAGTTCTACACACACACACACACACACACACACACACACACACACGCACAAAGGTTTCCCCTCATGCTAAGGGCCAAACTCCTTCCTATGGTCCTCTGAGCCCGTCCTGATTGGCTTGTCCTTGCCTGGCACCAGCTTCATTGCTCTCCACAACCCAATGAGCGTCTTGTGCTCCAGGCATTTGGAACTAACCGTGAGTTCTCCCCGATCCCCACTCGGCCCTTCAGCTGGCCAACTCCCACCTGTCCTTCAAAGCCCAGCTTCACTTTTCTTCCACTTTAGTCTTGGTTACTTGCCTCTCCTCAGTGTTCCCACAGCTTGTTCTGGCAAAGCAATAGGTTGTGTCATAATTTTGTCTGTCTCCTCCCCTAGATGGTAAACTTCTGGAGGAGACGGCCATCTCTGGTTCCCCTCCGTTTCTGGTGCTGCAGAGGACCCTGAAATATTTGTTAAATGAGGGATCTTCAGATAGGATGCATGCAATTATGGTTTCGTGGGCAGCACACTAGGTTTTGAATTTTTAAAAATTTGGGTTTGATAGCAAGCAGTCTCACTAACTAGACAAGTCATTCTACCTTTCTGAGCCTCAGTTTCCTTGTAAAAGGGGGGTAATTGTGAAGATTACATGAGGTTGTGTCTATAATTAGAGAAACGCGAGCTCGTTTTCACTTTACTTATTTGAGAAAGAAGGTTTTAAGTAAAGTGGTACAACATTTACTTAAAGACAAACTCTGGAGCCAGACTGCTTGAGTTTAAATTGTAAGCTCTACCAGGCTCATTTGGGCAAGTGACTCAGTTTCTTCATGTGTTATTTGTGTGTGTGTGTGTGTGTGTGTGTGTGTGTGAATCCTCACTTAAGGATATCTTTTCCATTGATTTTTAGAGAGAGTGGGAGGGAGGGAGAGAGGGAGGGATAAAGGGACACACACACACACACACACACAC